AAGACCAGGTATCGCTATAACGACAAGAAAAAGAGGAAAAGAGAGAACATTGTGGTCGCTTTCCTGATTAATCGCACTCAAAAAAATGTAATCTTCTTCTTAGCGCGAATCCTCTTATATATGGTTTCAAGAGGATTCTTCTAAACTCAAAAGAAAAATAATACTCATAAAAAAGAACTAGAGTTGCAAAGTGCTATTTCCTGTAATCCCACATTTTAAGCGAAAAAACACTCCTAATGAAGCGAATTATTAATCGAAAATCCAGTATGTATTGTTTTAACTTTTTTCCTGTTAAATCAGAAAGAATATGTTTACTTAAAGAAAAATGCAGCTAAAAGAGATTTCTACTAAGAACAAAATTTGTATTATAAATGAAAGGCGAAATTTTTCTCTAATTTTAACAATATTGTGCTTAGAATATTTTCTTTTTAGTTTTAAAAGTATTGTTTCGAGATTATATATAAGATGATTTTCGTTAAAAATAAAAAGAAAGATATGGCGCACGTAACCAGAAATATTTAGTTGCGAACAGCATAGTTATATTATCCTAATTACCTTTGTGTAATAGTAATGTATATAGTTAGTATAATTCAGTTACTTTGGTTACTCAGTTACATCAACTACAATGCAGTCGCGCGTGATCTGGCTATGACAATCAGAAATCGCTTAGGGATATTTACTATGAATACACTCTGGTTGGAGCAATACACGAAAAAAAAGATATATTTCACATGACTAGAAATATTTAGTTTTGAGCAGCATAGTCACTCTAATTATCTTTGCGTGATAGTAATGTGTATGGTTAATGTGACTCAGTTACTTTGGTACATCAAGTTATTTTGTTACATCTACACTAGTGTAGACGCGCGTAATTTAGTTGCGGCAACCAGAAATCGGTTAGGGTGACATTCACTATGAATACACTCTGGTTGGAGCAATCAGATATCGTCATTGCCGGTTGCAATGCCAATAACTCAGTAACTGCCTTGTGGTTGCAGCAGCCACGTAATTAGTCGTTCCGCATTTTACTATTAAATCTAACTGGTATAACAGATTTATATGTAGGCCAATTGTTTCTTCCGCATGAGATTATGTTTTTCTGGATGCAATGGTCACATCAAGAACACATGTAGAGACGAATGTCTTGGTCGAAAATATTTAGTAACTCTCGATCTGGACAATACTAAGGCATTTTATTGTCCAAAAAGGAAAACGTTAATCAATCGCGTCTTCTCGGCAGAATTTTTAATCGATCCGAATCGTCAGTTCGATTTTCGCTGTGAGGTATTTTATAACGAGAAAACGCAGATGTTGAAAATAGTTTCGGTTTCGTGGATGCACCAGTGAACTGTAATCATCGTTCACGGGGTCGTAGGTCAAGGTACACTTACCCTTCATTCGCGAAGAATGTTACGCGCGAAATTTTTGGAACAATGTCAGAAATGCCTGCCATTCCGCGATTTGATGAAATTAGATACAAATTTGGATTTTCTATCGAAAACCCTCCTCTCCCCTCTATTCCCTCACTCTTTTTTTTTTTAGATACTTAGAATATTTCCGAGAGGTCCCGGAATTTCCGGACATCCCTTTGTCAATTTCGCTTAGAACAGAATTCCAAGGATTCTGCAGCCCATAGCTGCCAGGTAAATCGCGAAAGGACGCGCAACTTTGCTTAAATCGTCGAGATACTGCGGGTCGATCGGGGGAGAGGAGGACAAGACATGAAGATGAAAACGGCCAGCCCGGTCTTTCGTCTAACCGGCGAGGTTGCTTCTCCGCGTCGTTAATCCTTTTTGGGATGCAAAGGCTGGACCCAGCGAAAAGGGCCCTCGAGTACGATCTGCTGTTAGTAACCGCCCAGCTTCGATCCGCGCGCTCTTTTCCCGTCTTTTCGCCCGCCTTCCCGGTCCTTTCCGGCCCCACTTCCGACTTTACACGTCGCGGGAAAAGGAGTCAGCGTCGGCGACGGCGACGGCGACGGCACTGGCACGCGTCTTAGACGCTGCGAGAATATTAAATTCTCGGAGCGGTGCATAAATTAAAAGATAGCGGTTTTCTACTCCGGCTGCGTATAAATTTTGCGAAAGCGGAGGGAGAGCCGGTGTGTGTATGTGTGGGTGTGAAGGATAGCAGACAGCAGGCTTACGCCGAGCTGAACGACGAAGGCCGAAGGAATGCATACCCAATCCCGCACCTGGCGCGCCATAATGCTGTTGAAGAAGGGAAATCTCCGCGGTTCTCTCTATTCCCGCGACCCACTGCATCTTTAACGCTCGTATCCCTCGGCGACGAAGCCACCGAAGAAAGAGGAACAGAGAGCAAAAAGAAAACGACGGGAAATCATTCATTACACGCTGCTCCCTTAAGAACGCTGAGCCAATATATACAAAATGGAAGAAATGGAGAGATAAACAGAGGTAACTGCACGGAGTATTACAGTTTTTTTTCATATATTTTGAACTTCCTTTTTTTTGTATCTTTTGAACTTTACTATGTTGTTACAGTAGTGAAAGAATAGACTGCAGGAAGGTGTAATATTATTTTACTGCTAAGAAGAGCGATTTACTTTTCTTGTTTTAAATGACGGTTATCTTTAACAGAAAATATTTTCTTGATACCAGTCTTATAGATAATAGTCTTGGAATATTAATGCATTTTGAATAAATTTAACATGTTTGTGATAAACTTATGACTTGATAGGTAAATATAAACTTGTGAAACAACCAACATTCACTTGAATGCAGTAAGCATTTTTCTGTATACACACAAAAAGATATTATTCTACTGCTAAGAAAAGCCATTACTTAGTTCACATTTCTCTTTTTAAATAATGATTACCTTTAACAAATAATATTTTCTTGATAGTGGTCTTAAGATATACTCATTACAAATTTCAGAAAAGTTTATTATCACTCAGAAAAGTTTATTATCAAAATAAATTCAAAAGAACAATTTATTGTCTTTAAAAGAATATTATAAAACTTTATTATAGAAAAAAGTTGATTTTGTAATATGTAATAAGCAAGTCGATTTTCATTTAATTTAATATTTTTTATTGAAATATTAAAGTTATTGGGATCCAGAGTATATTTTGAATAAATGTGATGCTTGTGATGAACTTATGTAAACTTGTAAAATATTTAAAACAAGGAATATTTACTTGAATGTGCAGTATGTATTTTTTGTATGTAAGAACATAAGAAATTTTTTAGTAACACATTTCAGTTCTTAGAATATAAACAGTACATATGAAGTGAGAGGATATAAATTACTGCAGAATGTCGATCTGTTTCTCGGTTACAAAAAATTCGATAGCTATCCTATGCTATATATTTATTCTCTCCGTGTGTAACGGGAGAATAGTATGATAAGATGAAGAAAGAGGAACAAAAAGGGAGAGGGAGAGAACGATAAATCGTATAAACGTATATTCGGCTTCTCCCCGCCGTCTCCAGCTCCAGTTGGGATCGAGTGAAGTCGGGTGTTTCCTTGGGCTGTTTTTCCCGCCGATTCTTACTCTTCCTCTTTATTTTCCCGTCCCTTGCTCGTCGCGGGTGACAGCGTGGTTTCGCGAATTACTCTTGCGAAACCACGCTGTCGCCCGCGACGAGCGAAAGTAATTCGCGAATTCGAAATGCGCGGGAACTCTAAATTTCCCGTAATGAAGCTCGTAATGTTTATTGAGACTTATATTGTTCTTTCTCGTACTTCTTTGTTCCCTTGCATCTTTCACGCGGACACGCGAAGAGCGACGAGAGTAAGAAATACGCTCGAGTCGCTCGTAGCGCGCCGTGTCTTTTATCTCCACGCACATCTCTTTCTTCTTGTTAGTAATAGTTCTTTATTTGTGCACACCTTGTTTGCTGCCACTGTTTATTTTTTCTGTCCTTTTCAAGATATCTTTTACTCAAACAGTACAAAAAATCGGAAATGGAAATTTTTAACTTCACCGGGGAAAGGACTGCGTTATTTTTGTTCGTAAATATATTTTATACAGCAAGACACACACAAGGTACAAGTGGAATCGTGCGGGACGTCTTGCGGAAATTCGTTTCTATGTCGATATTTAAAGATTCGAAGGTAGCTGCTTCATAATGAGACGGGAGAATTCGATCTACTTGAATCAATGATCGAAACATTTAATGAGCGCTCGCGTTTGCACTGAAACAATGTCTCTGAAGTATTTGCACTCTCGCAAATGTCGCTGCATGCTAATTCCTCGATACAGCCAACGACCGCTTTCTATGACGAACAACTTTCGCTACGACCTGCATCGTCGATTTCGAGATTGAACGTGTCATTTTTCCGTGGCCGCGTGTTATCCGGCGTGCGCACACTTTTGCAGCATTTTTGCAGCGATAGTTGTGGATTGAAAGCCGGGTACTTTTAAAATATGAATATTAATGTCCGGCCCACACAGATTGAAACTTGAGGGAAACGCGACCAATGGCGCGATATGAAGTTTCGCGATGACGAGAGTGCGTGTGCGGATAAAAACTGTGGAGAGTGCAGAGCGAGAGGGAGATAGAGAAAAAGAAAAGGAATACATGGCTCATCATAAAAAATTATTCTATATGAAACGTGTCTCATATTTCTGGTCATTTCGTCTCCGCGAAAGCCGGAGAACGTGCGCGCGCGCGCGCGCATGTGTGTGTATGCGTGCATATTTGCGCAGATACACGCGGTGAAATTCCAGTTTACTCCGTTAATAAACGAGAATTATGTTGCGCGTATGAAGACACTAATTAAATTAATTTATCGCAGGGTTAGGATAGGGCACCGGATATCCCGCGCTCGCCGCCACAACGACTACGACGTTCGACCCCAAGTTGATATTTCCACTTTGATATTTCCCGTCACGTTTTCGTGCGCTTTAACGCCATTGCATTCTTCATACAAGTGATTCGATTCTGTCCCGCATGCGCGGCGGCGATTAATCATCTGAAATGTCGCACAGTCGGAATTATGCATAACACGAGCTTTATATATTTATGTTGCAGGTGAGTGCATAACACGACGGGAGACAACCCGGAGATATTCGCGTCGCGTTCGCTACGCTTTTCGATGTTACATAAACAAGAGAGGTGGTAAGTCTTTCTTATATCTCATGCGCAACACGTCGCGATATTTCGCGCGTTGCTGCCCGGCAATAATTCATCGCGTTGCCCGTGCTGAGGCAGCCACCTGCTCGATTTGCGCGGGCGAAAAAATTAATCACGATGAAATCGATTTAATTGTGTGTATGTGCAAAGTGTATGTATCTCTTATCTTTTACATAATTTGCGGTGCCACACTGAGGGAAGTATAGAGAGGCAGAGAGAAACACAGAGAGGGACAGATAGACAGACAGAGAGATAGCGAGAGAGAGGAGAGGAGAGAGGAGAGAGAGAGAGA